CCCGCCCCGCCCCGTGGCGTTCCTACCCCTACCCGACTGACCCAGTTGAGGCATTGATCGCCCGCCCACGCGGCCAGCACCCCAAAACCTTCCAAGTGTTGGTGCGCTCCCTTGTGTTGAACATGACGTCCTGAGGCGGCTCTGGCCCGGCTGCTCGGCCGGCCGCCTTCCGCTGCATCCGGTCCCTGCCGCACCTTACCTTCCACCTGGCACTGGACTGGGGGGCAGTCAGGTGCGTGCGGGGCGGGGCGGGGCGGGGCGGGGCGGGGGCCACCCTCCGTATAGCCGAAGGGGTAATGTAGAACGCCACATGACGGCCTGCGGAGCGGAGGTTCAAATTTATTGCTGACAGCTTCTGTGTAAGCTCGAGGCAAACGCCATGATGGAAAGTGACCTGTGGAGACCCGCGAGCACGATCGGGCGTCAGATAAGGAGTGTGAGTGTGAAGAGAGGCAGGATAGACGCCGCCATAGGCTATCTCTTTTCTAATTACTTATAGTTTTGTAGGTTTTACGTTTGGTCTAATCTACCTGGATGAAAGCTGATTTTAATTCGTTTTTATCTTTCTGTCTGTTCCAGGTTCGTTTACTGCATTCCACCCCATCCGTCGCGAACCAGCAACATCAATGGAGTGCTCTTTGTGAAGTGCTGTATGGAAGGTTACAGTTAGTCAACTCGCATCATATCGAGATATCTCGATTCCTCCTGATTTGGTTTTGTCGATTGGAAACAATAGCGGGTCATTGTATCCCCCCGCCCCCCACTCGGCTCTATATAGTTATGCAGTGGCATATGTGTAACCCGATACCACCCCGTGTCGCGCCGATCCCTATTCTCTCTCTCTTTCTCTCTCTCGCTCGCTCCCCCTCTCGCCGGGCCCCCACTCTCCCGTTCCCACTCGCACTAATGCCCAAGTGGGCACGTTTCGAGTGTCAAGAGCAGTCAGTCAATCTGGCGGGGCTAGACGAGCTCTCCTCATATTATATATTGGGTTGCTGCTGTTCTGTCGTATCCAAATGTTTAGTTTCCAGCTTGTGCGTGAAGAATCACTCGACCCGCTTCTGCTTATCGATATTCTCGAGCGTCGAGCGTTGCGCTCTTTTGCCACTCCCCTACTTTTACAATTTAATGAAATGAAATATTCTTTGCAACTCAGTCAGTTGCTCTGACTGTATTGACCGGTATTGACTTTATTGAAAACATCTTCATATTTGGCGGCGCCCCGTATCCCTACGGCGGCTCACCTGAGCGTGGACCTTGGCATTGCAAGGCGTAAGGCGATACACTGGGTCGGGCTCGCCTTACTTCGTGTGGTATCGGCCCGGCCTCGGGTGGTGGTCGGCCGGTCGGCCCGCTCCGGACGGTACCGGTGCACGCCGCCAGGACAGCCCTCGCATACCCAAGTAAATACCCAAAGTCTGTGTATTTCTTGTGGGTGGAGGCTATGCATACTTAAAAGCGCGGTCTCTTTCTTCGCATGTTTACACTTGTCAAAGAAAAAGAAGTGACCCCTGCAAAACATGCAATCTCCATAAAAGAGTCTAACTAAAATGGATTGTCTTTGACCAACACTTTTGATTAGATTAGATTTTACTGGTATAGCAACATTTCCGAGCAACGGCAGTTATCAATTTACAAATGATATCCCAAAATATGTCGACGCCTTGCTGTTGAACCTGACTGACGTCCAAGATGGGTACCGTCGCTGTCTCATGATGCCGCATCGCGCGTGCCCGGCGCATCTCATGGCGACACAAACATCCGAGGCAAACAGACGCTTCCTTCTGCAGGACGGCGGCGGGGCGCAAGTCCTCTCTAACCTTCACCTCGTCCGCCCCGCCACGCCCCGCCACGCCCCACCACGCCCCGCCACGCCCCGCCCCGCCACGCCTGCCACGCCGCGCCCGTGGCGGTGTCCATGTCGGCGGCCGGCGCGCGCCTGCGTGCGTGAGCTAATGCTCGGCCGGCACGCCCGTCCCGAGCGTGAGCGTGAGCCTGTGGCGGGGAGGGGGAGCAGTGTGCGGGGAGGAATCCGCAATGAGGGCGTCCTGGGGAGGACTCCATGTCATGTCGCGAATGGGCCTCGGGCTGCCTCGGGGGCCCCGCACGCCCACCCCCTCCGTCAGGCCCCTCATCTCCTCCAGCAGGGTTGATATGCTGCACACCACCCCCACCGGCGAGGTGCGCACAGCAGCAGCATCAGCAGCATCAGCAGCAGCACGGTAGTGGTAGAGAGTTTTAATCAAGAACATTTTTTTAGGGAGAGTTTTGCGCTTGATAAGTTTGTTGTGCCGCTTTCCCGCCTCACAGCGTCTCTTGAACACTTTTTTGCGACTCGTGGGAGCCCGCCCCCGCCCCCGCCCGCCCGCCGTTTAGCAGCGGAGCGGTCGTAGTTTCTCCGTGCTCGTCGCCACGCTCCACCTGGCGCCAGCTCCAGCAGCAGTCCCTCCTGGCGCGCTGCGGAGCGTGGCGGAGCGTGGCGCCATGTTTGACTTTTGAGAGATTAATAATATTTCCTGGCCAAGGCCGCGTGTAGAGCGCGAAGAGCGAAGCAAGGGCCCCTGCCGCGCGTCAAGCGAGCGCCACGACAGGTTAATGCCCTTTAATTGGATGAAATTATGTTTGCCTTGAATTAATTAATTACCCCCCCCCCCCTAACATCTCCCGTGCGCTACGCAGGATTAATTACCATCCGAAATCAGTATTATTCACAAGTTTGAAGACGCTGGCTGTCGCGGGGAGGACGAGGGGGGTGGGGGAGACAAAGGGAGAGGAAGGGGCAGAGAGAGGGGACAAACGGTATCGGGTTGCAAGATGGGGGTGGTGTATACGGCGTCACGCCCGAGAAATGTCAGCGCAGCGATGAATCGGGGCGTGGCGTGGCGTGGCGCTGCTGGGTGACAGGACGGGGCTGCGAGACGAGAGGTCGCATCCTCCTCCACACGGCCCCTAGCCCCCCCCCC